GCTCTTTAGTTGAAGCGAATTTCTCATCAAAGCAGATTGTAAACTATCAATTTTATAGTAGACTACGAACAGTTTATCCTAATATCAATTTTCTTCTAATATTTTGAATGATATTTAGATTCATTTCATTTCCAAAAACTGACTAAATATCCAACTCGGTGCTATACTCAGTTTAATCACTTCTTCTTATGCTGTCACTACAGAAAGGAAAGCTTGAATTTCAGTAAGCTTGTTTCTTTATTCCCAATAGAAGCATTTTATTATGCATTTCAATAATGACACTTGCAAACATCATGCAATAGGATCCTGGGTAAAAATTCATCAGAAGCACATAAGATCACATCGAATGACCTTGGCGGCCTGTTTGAATATTTTTGGGCTACCACATTCCATGTACATTTTGCATCTATTTACTCGTATTTTATTGGTATTTACATATCACATTATGCATTCTAATCGTATTATCTACCCTCGGGATTTTATAAAACGTTTTAAACCCAAAAACTTTCATATTTGCAATAAACTCAAGAAAAAGCACCATGGAGGTTGGCAGCGTGCCTTAAAATCTACACCCATACATCACACCACTGTTCCAGTTATCATTAGTACCAACTGCCGGTCCCTGCCTAACAAAATTCTGGATTTTCAGTCTCTGTTGTCTTCTAGTACCTACCACAATACTGGTATAGTCACTCTGCAAGAAACCTGGCTCCATGACTCATACGATGACAATATTGTGTCTCTAAACAATTTCAATGTTTTTCGACAAGACCGTATTTGTTCCAAGAAAAAGTGTGGTGGAGGTGTTGCAACTTTTATTCACTCAAAATGGTCCATTTCAAACAAAGTTTGTTTCAAATTCTCGAATGACTTCATTGATTGCATCACTGTGAGATGTCGCCCGAAACACATTTCAAAATACAAATTCATTTATATTTCTAATGTTTATGTCTCTCCTGGCTGTACCATATTGGATTTATCTATGTTCGCCGATGAATTCACCGCTTTTGCTGCAGCTTGCTTCGAGAACTCTTTATCAATAGTAACAGGCGATTTTAATTCATGCGATCACTCCTTCCTTATATCACTTGGTCATGACAATATTGTCAACTTTGCCACCCGTCTTGGTAAAAAATTGGACCTGGTATTTATCAATGATGTTGGTATATATGAAGCTCGCAAACGTGCTCCTCTACTTAATTCTGACCACTGCATCATACGTGTGCTGCCTAAAATATATTCCAAATCACACAAAGGTGTCCTCTCTCACCTCTGCAGTAAAGTTCAACGGAGATGCTACTCAAAAGACAACCTAGACAAGCTCAGATGCATGTTGAAAGACACTAACTGGGACTTATTTACAGAACAAACATTAGATGAAACAATCACAAACACTACTGATTATCTTAAATTCTGTTTCGAAATATGTTGTCCTAAAGAAACATTATTCATCCGATTTGATCGCTTATCTTCGCCATATCTCAAAAAGCTACGTAGAAATAAAGAACTGTTGTTCAAAACTAATGATAAGCCTGGTGTAAAAAAGTTAAACATGCTGATAAAACTGGAAATAAAAAGACTAAGTGTTTTATATAATCAAAGATTTTTGTCATGTAAAACCCCTTCTAATTTATGGAAACTTTTCAAAGAAATTACTAACGGTAAGCGATGTATTTCTGTTCCATCTCTTAATGTTGACACTCTTAATAAATCTTTCATACGCTCTTCTGTTGATACCCTTCCAAATGATACAAATCATATTGACAATAACTTTAGTGGTTTTAATACCCTTGATGTGCTTAAATGTCTCCGGTCTCTTAAGCCTTCTCAAAGCCTTGGTCCTGACGGCATACCTGCCATTGTCCTCAGGAATTGTGCTGATATTTTGTGTTATCCTCTTACTAACATTTTTAATGCCTCTTTTTCCGGTAACGTTCTACCTTTTGCATGGAAAAACATTAAAATTATCCCTATACCAAAACCATCTTCTGGTTCTGATATTAAATTTCGGCCTATTGCAATTACTTCCCCCTTTTTAAAATTGATGGAAAAATTACTTTTACTTCGTCTTGAACCCGCTTTGAAACCTTTTAATGATCCTAAACAATTTGCATACAAACATGGTAGAAGTACCTTGGATGCTGCGGTTGTCTTATATCACAATGTTGTCTCTTGTTTAGACAAAGGTGCTAAATATGTTCGTAGTGCTTTCTTAGACTACACATCTGCTTTTGACTCTGTACCTAGGGGCCTTTTATTAAATAAGCTATCATTGACACAAACAGGATCCTGGGCTAAGAGTTGGTTGCATTCCTATTTTTCTGATAGAATGCAGTATACTGTATATAACGGCAAATCTTCTTCTACCTCGCTTACAAAATCCGGTGTTCCACAAGGTGCTGTCCTCTCTCCTTTTCTTTTTTCTTTCTTCCTACATGACCTACCTCATTCAAACGAAACTAACTTTGTCAAATATGCAGATGATCTGACTGTATCACTGCCTATCACTTCCGAGTCTGACAGCTCCAAACTTAATAGCTTTCTGTTGGACATCAACAACTGGTCCAAGTCAAATGGTCTTATATTAAATCCTTCCAAATGTCAGGTGCTTGACTTTACTTTCAAGCATCGACGTGACTTACTTGAACTAGTTAACTCTCATGATCCCTGTAGCATAGATGGCACGGAAATTGAAACCAAATCAAGTATTAAATACCTTGGACTAGTTTTTTCCTCTGACCTTTCATGGTCATCCCATATCTTATCTATCTCTAAGAAAATGTTTCGTCTTACCTTCTACATTAAAAAGTTAAGACAATCAGGTATCAACCAACCTTTAGTTTTGCAATTTTTAAACTCCTGTATTTTACCTATTGTACTCTACTGCTCTCCATTAATCTTTCCTGGGCTTCTCAAAAAAGATTATATCATATTACGAAGAGTATTAAATGCTGTGAGTAGAGCTTGTGGTCTGCCACTGCATGAGCTCGCTAATACTATAGTCGAGAGGCATATAAATTCCTGTACGAAATGGGCAAAGGCTATAATGTCAGACCCTCTGCACCCCCTTTATTCACACCTGTCCCCTTGTATCTCATCAGGTAGGACGAGAAGTCAATATAAAAAGATATATGCTCGTACTACTAAGTATAGAAATTCTACAATACCCTATTTAGCGCGTACTTTATGTGACGAAGACTCTGTTAGACGTGAAACTTACAAGTTACTATGTAATTAGCACAGTGAATCGACCCTTTTATCGTTCATCTTTCTGTATTTTATGGTGTTACACTTTCTATCGTTTAAATCGTTACTCTGCTATTTTATATTAGTTGGTATTACTATTATTACTACAATTTTGTACTTTATACATATTTTTCTCCGTATGGCACACAGTATTTTGCTACGTAGCTGCTACAACAATCGTTTTATTACTATTATGTATTGTGTATTTTTAATTTTTTTTGTCGTTTTTGGGTAAATTAGATGCAATATTGTACTGAATGCTGAAAATTCCTTGCTGTATCATGAGTACTGTTTTTGGAATAAAGCAATTATTATTATTATTATTATTATTAAAAAAGTTATTAACCGCTTGAAAATCACTTACCTAGCAATAACGCATTTTACTTCAATCATTTATTAGCCTTCTAAGTGAGCTATAGCTCTCAGTTTGAGCTTTCAATATTGAGCAGTGGTGGCCATATTTTTGATCTCTGGGGTGAATAGCCATATACTTATCCTTCCTTTGTTAATGAGCCGACTACCGACTAACCAAGCTTTATGAGCAAGTTGCCAGCATGAGTCAACGTAGGTTCAGTTTTATAGGTTTATCTCTTGAGCTTGATCCGAAGCTTGATTGCGAAGCTTTCATCGTCCTTCTGGACAACATCTTCAGACCAAGTTTTAGCATAAAATAAACTGATTTAAATTCTCCATGAATAGTAGAATTGTGTCTCCTGGCCACCATCTTCGTGACAGATATTCAATTTACGTCTGTATTGATCATTTTTGATTCAATTGGATTTTGAACTTTCTCGTCACACTATTATTATTATTGCGCCCTTGGGTTCCTAGTGGAGCATAGGGCTTCAACTGCACGTCTCCATTTTCTTTTGTCTTCTTCTGTACTTTCTGCCTGCATCCATGCAAGTCCATACTGTTTCAACTCCTCTTCACACGATATCCTCCATGTCACCCTTGGACGTCCCACACTCCTCTTCCATTTCGGCCTGGTTCCACTCGAGGGCTTGACGCGCGATGTCACCCAGTGGTCTTCTCAGCGAGTGTCCAATCCATCTTCACTTTCTCTTGCATATTTGTTGGTTGGCGATTAGTTCTTGTTTTGTTTGCTCCCATAGTTCTTTGTTGGTGATTCTTTCCGACCATTTGATCTTCAATATAGAGCGGAGATAGTTGTTAATAGAGGTCTGCAACAGGCTGTTGGAAATATTCTTTGTGACCCGCCAAGTTTCTGATCCACATAGAAGAACTGACTGACTTTACGTTTGTGTTGAAAATCCAAATTTTGTTGTTGATGCTGGCTGAGTGACGAAGATTTCCAGATTGGTTTCAGGTTGATGATGTAGATGTGTTTCTCGCCTTCCCGATTCTCGATTTGACATCCTCGTCCGCTCCTCCTGTAGTTGAGACAATGCTCCCTAGATAAGTGAATGAAGTAGCCTCTTTCAAATCCCTCCCGTTGATGGTGAATGACGTTGGATGTTGTTGCTGTTGTTGGTTGGTTATTTTCATAACCTTCGTCTTGTCTATGTTCACATGGAGTCCTGTCTTTGCTGCTTCTTCGACCAGTTTGTCGGTTTTCATTTGTAAGTCTTCGATTTTGTGTGACATCAAACAGAAATCATCCACTCGCGAAATCCAGGTCTTCTAGGTTCTTCACGTCGGTCCAGGATATTTCTCGTCACCTGATTTACTTTTATTAGTAAGTATATTTGGTTTATAATAAAATTTTTGTTAATCTCTTATTCGTTTACCAGGCTTCTAGGAATTCGCTGACTGCACTTCTGGTGTTTCCTCTGTCCAAGATTTCGACATTACCCCAATCAAACTGAATCCCATAATTGTTTATATGCACTGATATGAAAGAATACACATCGTGTCTTTCCACGGTTGATAGGTGTTCTTGGATTCTAATAATTCGAAGGGGACGCCCACTTTGGCCGATGTAATGTCTGTTACAGTTCATACCATTTATTTCGTAAATGGGAATAATTTTATCTGCTTTTCTGTTGGATCTTTCGGTTTGCACAATATTGAGTTAGGCGATTTGACTTGCTTGTGTGCTATATATACTTCAAACGGTTTCAATATTCTATGTGTTATTTCAGAGATGTTTTTTAAATATGGTGGAATGAATGTTTCTTGCGGTCTTTCATGATGGTTTCTTGTTGATGTTGTGACTCGATTTGTAAAGATATCCTTGCTTTTTTAAGACAGTTAGTAAGTATTTTCTTCCATTCTCGTCATCATTAGAGTGCCACAGTATGTTTGAACTATTTTAAACAATGTCTGCGCACAGTATTTTTGTGAATAATTAGGTCATTGCTAGTATAGTTGAGTATTTGGTCTGCTTGCAGTGAGTTTCCATATACTCGCATTTCTAAATTTTCCGTGTTAGTTCTCCTGATTAAGACATCTAAGAATGGGATTTCGTTTTATAATTCTTTTTCTCCTCTGAAATTCATGTCTTCAGATATGTTGTTTATTAATTTACGGATACGTCTTTACACTATTATGAAATCCAGTGGCTGTTAAAGTCAACAGCAACAGTTAAAATATAAAGCAGCTAAACATATTTGATTTTATTGCATGGAGGATTTAATCATGAGCTGATATCAGTTAGAGAACCACAGGAAAACCTAGGAGTACTGGACAGCTGTTTCGTACTAGTTTGGGACTCCTCAGCAGTACGCACTCACCGAGATTCGAACCCGATGATTTTGATTGATTTTAGACAAAATTATTGAACTTTGACATTCTAAACTGTGAACGAAAACTGTAATTGCATCCAGCAAATATAAAGCCATACTCATGATCCAGAAATACAGCGAACTTAAACATGCCACACTTGGTTAGTTAACTGAAGAATTATTGCGTTTGAATTGAATTTATCTATGCACAGGTAATAACGTCTTGAAACAATAAAACACATGTATTCTTCGATAACATGGAGAAATTATTCAGTACCGAATGTATATTTTTTCAACTTACTCGTTTCGGAGCAGTAAAATAAACCTGAGTATAAAATTTAAAAAATAAAATCAGAATTCTTTCGATTTCTCTGAGATTGATACAAGAGTAATATTAACGTATGTCGACTTTTCATCTACCACCTAATTACTGTGAAATAATTAGATTAAATCTGATCAGATCTCATATCAATAATAACTAATAACCGGTATTCTTATTTAAATGAAATTAAGATTTTCCTGTCGATTGATTGGACCGACGTGCTCTCTCTAAGGTCGACATCTTGGTTTCTTGTGAAAATGCTTTAACGACGTCTGTGCATTTAATTCGAATTAAATTGGTGGATGTTGACCAGCAGTGGAATCAAAGATTCGCAATTCGCCCTATTCGGAACTCATCAGCTAGTGGAATTACCTAAATTCCATAGTGAGTGATAATGTTCCCATCAAGGCTCGAACCCAGTGGCCATAGTTTCAAACGCCAAAGCGTTATTCGCCAGACCACTTGAGCCATGACAGCCGGCCACCTCTTATGCAGCTGGTCATAATAATTTTTAATGAGCTAAGTGTTGTAGTCGATAAAGCTTCGGCGTTTGAAACTATGGGCACTGCGCTCCAGCTTCTGTAAGAACATCATCACTCACTGTGGAATGTAGGTAAATCCACTAGCTGGCGAGTCTCGAATAGGATGAAATGCGCATCTTGGATCCCACTGCTAGTCACCATCTACCTATTAAGTTAAGTATTCATATTAGCTATAAGGTATGAATTTACAATCAGTGGTCAGATGAAAATGGACAAAATTTAACACCTCATACTGACTAACTTTCAGGAAATGAAGATCCTGAATAATTCTTAACCATAAAACAAATGAGAAGAATCTCATAAAGACTGTTCAACACTAGGTCAGTCAAGAGATTGAAACTTATTTCCGACTTATTGTAAATCCCTGTAAGAGCGTGTGGAAATATGTTGAAGGTATCACTGCCTTCTAAGATTAGTGAAACACACTTCAAACTAACTGAACGAGTTTGTTTTGTGGAAGGGGTTATTATGTAAAATAACATGTTTATCTGGTAAACTACAATTTTTCAATAAAATGCAACAAAAGCTTGGTAGCGGAACGATAGGTTGGACAATCTTCCCTGAGCAATCTATTCACAATATTGACGCTATTGCGAAAAGTTTACATAACTGCGTAATAACTACCCTTTCTTTCTTTATCTGCTTGTCGTTGCTCATCCATGTACATATCTTCTTTCGATTTGATTCTACCTATTTGTTTTATTCCTTCACGTTCCCAGTGGAACATAGGGCTTTTAGCTATAGTTGTGAAGTTTCTGTAGCAGTGTTGATTGTTTTTACCGGATGAGGTTGCCAGCCTCATGCCCAACCATTCCTCTCTACGAGCATTTATTACTAGCTTAGCAAGGTCAACGAGTGAGTCGCCCGGGGATCAAACCCCAACCATCTGCATGGCTGGCGAGCGTCCCAACAGCTGCGCCACCGACACACAGTTCTATTTATGGTTGATCCTTATTAGGAGTGTTTTGCTGTACTGATGGATGGTTGACTGTTGAGGTTGGGCTGCCTGCTTAAATCATCGGGCTACCGAAATTACTTTCCTCCAAAATCCTCAATTTTATCTGGATTTATCATTGTTTTAATCGTCCAGTTATATCAAATGACCTATACATAAACTTGCACGATGATATAACTTGCTCGCAAGTAGACGCTGTATAATTCTTCAAAGAAATGAAGACATACTACAGATTAACAATTTACATGTGGATACTGTTTGAAGAAAAAAGTACTTTGGAGCTGAATACGCTGAAAATGTTTGTATCGTATATTCGCATACTGTCTTAAATAAAGCACTATTATTATTATTTTTAACGTATTGTTTATACCTGGGGCTATATCACCTCGGACCGACATTAGTAATTGTTTGGTGTCTCTGATTCTTGCTGACAGAAACTTGAACCCTCTGTTTTGAATATTTCATTTGATTTGCATGTAGGTCTTTGGTAAAGTACATGTTTTCTCCAAAAGAAATATTTGGAATACATTGCTTGAGACCTTACAACTGACTTCCTGCTACCAACGGAACATACTGGGACGGTAGGTTACTCGAGGACGCTTTGTCAGTATTCAGTAGTTATCTGCGTTTCAACAAGATATGTTCAAGACAATGTTACAAAAGGTTTGGAAGGAAGGGATAGTACTCGCTGAAAGGAAGAAAGACTATCTTGCGAAACTAGCAAAGAGAGGAGACTTGAGCCTCTGCAAGAACTAACATGGAATAATGTTCTTATCCACACCAACTGAAATAATAAGTCGCATCATCCTGGAGAGAATAAAATCTACACTGGACGCAGAACTCCGTGGAGAACACACTAGATTCAAGGAAAGTAAATCATGTGCTGACCGAATTGTAAATCTATGCATCATCTTTGAACGAAGAACAGAGGGAAATTCAAATAATTTTCTCAGTTTCATGAATTTGAAAACGCCATCAGCAGAGTTGACCGAGAAGTGATTTGGAAACTACTTCAAAATCATGGCATGCACCGAATCTTTATTAACCTCATTCAACAGCTCTCTTTATGGCAGGGGCACGTGTCACGTGATCCGCAAAGGAGAATTAAGTGAGGTGTTTGACAAGAATAGAGAGGTAAGACAAGTCTGTCAGCTTACTATCATCGATGATGTTCCTAACTGTACTGGACTGGATTATTTGTCAGACCGTGAGGAGAAAGGAGATAAGAATATGCTGCACAGACTGATAAGAAGACTCCAAAAGATCTGGATTTCGCGTGTACATGATTTATGTTGAATGTCACACAAATTCGAAGACTCACAGGGACGCAAAATCCAACCAACTGGCAGAAGACGTAGACAGGCAGTGAAGACAGGACTGCAGGTGAACACAGAGAAGACAGAGATGATGAAGATAACCAACAAACTAACCAAAAACAGCAGCCAGCACCAATCACTATCAACGGGAGAGGTTCCACTTAGGTTAGCTTCTTCACTTATCTAGGAAGCGTCGTTTCACCTACATACGGGATGTAAAAATATGTAAAAGTTAGTCAGCCAGCCAGAATCGGAACGACTAGATACGCCTTCATCAAAGTGAAACCATTATGGAAATCTTCTACACTCAGTATGACGAACAAGAATCGGATTTTCAACACCAGTGTTAAGTCAGTCAGTTCTTCGAAATAGGTCGGAAAATTGCGTTGCGCTTGCGTCACGAAAAGCATTTCCAACAGGCCACTTTAGACTATTACCAAAAGCTACCATCGCTCTACACTGAAAATCAAATGGCCTATCGGCCAGAAAGAAATGGCAACAAGAAGCTCTGACTTGGAACAAACCAGCTAAAAACGTATCGTTCAACAAATATGCAGGATAAAATGAGGATGAATTGGACACATGCCAATGATGAGATCGTCGAATAACATAGCGTTGCAGGCCATCGCTCTTGTTGAAACCGAATGGAAAACGACGAGCTGAGCTGTCGTTCGACGGTAATATGGAGGAGATCACAGGAGGAGATAAGAGATTGTGGGCAAACTTAGGGCCAGCTGCAGACGACACCAGACAATAGAAGAAAATGTAAATGTGTTGTTGAAGCCCTATGTTCCACTCGGAACCCAAAGGGACAATAATATTATAATAATGCGTTTTGATCTTGAAGACTTTTGAATTTAAGCAAATTTTGATTTTCCCAAAGTTTATTCAAAAGTAAATGGGGAAATGTTCATTGTCTGTCTCTTTTCATCGAAAATAATTAAATTTCTTTATAAACCGAACGGAGAAAAAAGCTGTTTTCTATTGATAGATGCCTCAATGACCAAATATCCATCATTGATTAAGGCGAAATAGAAGTAGGCTTCCAAAAATGTCCTCCCTTTGATGTATAAAGTTAGCGTTAATCTAAATAACTTCTAACATATAATTTACTGAATCTTATTATTTTTTAAATTTGAATGAGGTGGGCTGTGCTTAAATCTCTTCGAAGTTATAAATGCCTTGATGACACGGAACTATAAACTTTTCTAGACAAAAGAACATATCTAATCAAAAATCGCCCATGCATAATCAAAACAGTATCAATCAATAATAGATAATAACGTCATTATAACTCACAGATAGGTAAAAAGTCAGGGTAGTCTAAAAGTTTTTGAGGTATTATTATTACACTAATAGTAGAATGAAATATAACATCTGTAGTCTTCAAATCTTAGCTTAATAAGCCTTGAAGGCTAAATACTTATCCTAATAAGGAATATACCTTAAAAAACAGTCATTTAAATTCCACTTGTTGAATTTGGATACTAAACATTTGATCAAACGATCTATCTCTTACAGTTACACAATGTAGAAGGAATTATTAGGCAGTGAAAGTGCTTACTTAGCCTACGCACTCCATGTTACTTTTATCACACCCAATCAGTAACTACTCCAGAAAGCAGCATTAAATTAATTTCAACACCTATAGGACCTTTGAAAGTACTAGTTTCAGTTTCTTTGAGAACTTTCATATAAAGTGCCATTCTATTTGTTAATATGATTACTACCCAAAATAAATACACTAATACACTCACTATCAACGCAAACAGTTTCACCTTGAAAGCAAAATGAAATTCTTCATTAGGAATTTACATGATATAATCTAGCCATGGGTACTCTAAATTAATTCCTACTTCATTCAACTTATATTATTCGAAACTAATTATCTTTAACCATCAGTAGTATAAAAACAGCAGTATGAAACTTAAAATACTCCAAAAAATATCCATATTGTCGACAAAAACTCACTACCAGCTATTCAGTTTGCATTGTAGGTCTGAGGAAACAAAGTTTCCTGACAGGGATACTCTTTTGACACTTTAGCGCCTCCACTATCTAGTTTTACCGGTGAATGTTCTTACTCATTGATTACGTGCAGGACCATATTGGTCATAAATATTACTAAGAACTTCGTTAAGTTCATCTTTGATCGGATAGTTTCTCAATAACTGGGTTTAGGGTGAAAAGCGGACATAAGTAAAAAATAATATTTGTACACAACTCAGCGAAAGTGAAGGAAATAATTCCAACGTTCAGTTAGACAAACTGGTTTCAACTTCTTGAGGGACAAAATCCAAATTAAAATATCAAAGGCATATATATATTCACATGAATAAGAACAAGTTTTTGTTCTCGTTGTCTCGTCATGTCTGAATCATTATTTATCATCAAAAGTTGAAAGATAATCAAACGTTTTTATTTTATTATTGCGAACCCTGTTAGTTGTAAAGGATTTATATAGAGAACAAAATTACATGAACTATGGTCAACATTTGACGTGATAGTCCCATGACTACTTTGAACATCAAAACAGTAGAATCAAAATAGCCAAACAACACTTTAAAATTAATTTAGTAGTCACTGGTGACTCACTATGAGACAAAGTTGACTGAGGTTATCATGAGAAGACATGACCACCAGGGTCCACCAAATTGAAAATGGGAACAACTACTTATGTTTGACAGTGACTGGTGGTGTCATTATTCATTACAAATTGTCAGAATTTCATTTATTCGCTTGACATCAGATTTCTTTCCAGAGGCTAGATGGTAAACTGGCTCGTCTTGTAACTTTAACGTCATGGGTTCAATTCTTGGTGTGGCGATGGGTGTGTACTTATGAAAAGTCTCAAAGAAAGGAGACTAAATTGCCGCCTCAGACTCGATTGTTAATACAGAATCTATAAAGTTTAATCAACGAAAGCCTTGCAAAGCAACACTTGAGAATACTAAGCAGACCATTGGCTGGAATAAAATTTAAATGGCATTAGGCTAAAAATGTGTTAAATATGACACAGGTTAACGAATGGCTCAAAACTAACTTACACATGCCCTGATTATGAGCTGTAAATATGTTAGTAACATTATACAATCTTAGATCATCTAACTGCCTCAAAATAGAAATTTATACGCCATCGATTTTCCACAGGAGATTTGGAGATTTCGGTTCAACTAAGCATGCCTTTACAGCATTTGTTTTAATATATAAGAAATCTCAAAGTGAATGTCACATAGTAATAAAATTTTAGTGGAAATGTTCAAAAATAGTTACAAATGGTGTAGTCTAAACTCAAAGAAGTTAAAATCTGGCTTTCAGAGTATAGCTATTATTCCTTTGAATTCAATCAGGAACACTGATTCTCAAGCTTGAGATTTTAAGTTTCAGGAGAACTAGTGTCCATGTTTTACAAAGTGAACTTCCTGGCTAGCCGACTAACCTTATCACGTTTCCAAACGCACTGCCTTCTCAGCGATATTTAAGTGTGTGTTCGGTTGAAATCGGATCCTGGACCACGTGCATGGTTGGCAAGTAGTCTATTGCTGAATAGCGAAGGCACCAAAGCGGCTCGACTGAAACACTCGTAAACATTAGGATAGAAGGAGAAACAGATGACAAGTTACAGATTAAATGGCGAGCGTTTAGTGAATCCCACAGGTACCTACCAGCAAACAGATACCCCAAATTTATTCTTCAACACTTTAAATATCATGTACTTGAACAACTTTCCTATGCTGATGGATAAAACTGAAGATTCCAAAATAGTACACGTTTGCACACAAAAATAATCTGATTCACACTTTTTTGGCACATAGTTCACCAGACAATCTGTCAGCTTATTTCTTCATCCCTTCCTAAGAAACGAAACATTTTTTTCTAAGTAGGTATGTTAGATGTAAGATGATGAGACTACAGGACTGGACCACATAGACTCACTCATTTCTAGCTTAAAGATAGACGAAGGTGAAGTGGTTAGTGCAGTGTGTTGACCACTTCACTTATATGGGAAGTTGCATAAGCCAACCTAAGCTAAGTCAGGTTGATTGCTAACGAAATCTCAGCACGGATACAGAAGGCTCGTTTGCCATTTATTAGCCAACTTACGTCATCTGTGCAGTGGACGTGATATCCGGCTATCTACAAAAGGAAGCTGTTCACTCCGTTTTCCCTTATCGCTATGGGATACGGATATTGAAAGTGGATGATAAGAAAAGCAACGTTAGCTGCCTTTCATCATAGGTGCCTGCATCGGATCTCCCGTATTAGGTGGCGGTATAATAAGGTGAGGAATATTGAGGTTACTGATCGGTTGGGTGCTAAGTAAGTGGAAGAGGAAATCAATCGACAAGGTTGCAAAGTTACACAAATTGAGTGAGATGGTTAGGCCATGTGTTACGCATGCGTCCCTAGCCAACGCCTTCCCCAAAAACAGTTAATCTTAGCTGATTCAGGACGGATAAGATTGGAAAGGTTTGGATAGCGGTGGTCAAACTAAAACATGGTTTCATCAGTCGAAGAAGTCTGTAACAGTTATTTTAAGCCAGCCGCATAGGGAAGTGTAAACTGGTTGCCTGGTTAGGATGCTCGGGATGTAAAACCAGTGACTGGAGACAAGTGGTGATATGGCTCAAAATCGTTCTCATTGGCTCTGATTTATTCTATCTTTTTGATTTGTTGTACATATCCAGTAAAATCCTACTGTTCTTCTTTATTACGATTCTTTTTACCCCAAACTTCTGTTTATTATCTCTATCTGCTCTGAGTCTTTCTTTACTGTCTTCTCTTGCTTTATGTACTATATGAAGTCTGGAAACTGGAAATGCTGAACATCTTTCCAAAGTTCTACGTTGAAACCAGTCAGTCAGTCAGTTTCTAAATAAATGTTGTTCAGTTTGAAAAAACCCATCGAACATATAATGTTTCACAGATAATTTGGAATGCATATTTTCACTGTAGGAATAAAGTTTACTTAACCAATGTAAGGTAACTTACTAACTAGTTCACAATTGGCTCTACCTTTAAAATTTTTAAGTAATTGAAGAACGAATATGTTTTTGTATGAACAAAATGAATTGTAGAGTATTTCATTTATTAAAACTTTCCTCTCCTACTGCTATACCAGTTCCTTAGTTTATGGAACCAGACTAAAATTACTCAAAATAACAAAACTAATACTTGAAAAGTACATAAGTGTAACGACAGAAAACAATGGTCAGGCAACAGATCGCTTTTTGAGAAAGTCAAGAGGTATTTGTAGATATATGTGTAAAGGTATTTGTAGACTTTTATGTACATTATAATTAGCGTTATTGTAAACAGAGAAGCAACGTCTTCTGATTGGTTGTTTTCTTGCAGAAGGTCATTCTGTACTGCTTGTCACCGTTTCTTAGAAAGTCAGGCGATATATATGCGAATCGTATTTACACACGTTAAGTCTGCTGCTATTGAGTGGTGAGTTCCTCAATGTTAAGCTTTGTCATTTTTTTTTTCATGACCCGATTTGGGACGTAAACATTGAAGTAAACTGTTGTTTGCATCTTTGGCTAGCAGACAGCTCTCATCACATAAGTATTTGGTATCATACTGAAAAATTTAAGATTTGACCGAATAGTTACAAAATAATTGAGCGCCGAATAAGAAACAGATATTTGTAAAAAAAGAATTCATTTTTAAAATCTCAGCGAAACTGAAATAATTAACTCCAACGTTTTGTTCGGCAATCTGATCCGAACTGCTTCAGAGGAATTAATCAAAATTAACATATCAGAGGTTTATTTATAAAAGGACATCTCTTGCTTTTAAAAACTTTATCCAATCATATGAGTCATGAAACAGGCATCAACATATGTAATAAACAAAATTGTATGTTTATATGTGAAAGGACATCTCTTATTTTTAACAAATGTTATACTGAATATCTGAAAGTCTGTTTACATATGTATTATACAAACATGTTTGTAGGCCTGTTTGACAAAATAAACATGTTGTTTCATCTTTATATACCACATCACTGATTGAATAGTCTTCGTGTAAACTTTAAACAAAAACAGTCATTTCTTTAACTGAACAACTAATTGTATTATTAATATTCTCAACTTAAAAGGACAGAAGCCTACTTTTTGATTGCTGACGGCTTTATTCAGTTTGTTCATTACTTCGCAATTATTTGTAACAGTGTACTTAATGAGTATTTATCATATATGGTGTAAATAAATGCTATTTACTCTCATAATTATAAAATCATACCAACTCAAAAATGAACCACAACATTCACGTACAATTTTCTGGACTCAGATTGTCACCTATGGTAAAAGCGACAGTGCCGAATTTTACATACAAATGCAAAATTTTAACTCAATCTTATCCTAACTATAATTCGTATTGGTGATATTGGCATTCGTTTATAAACTTATCAGCATAATAACTCCCAAAGAGGTCTTGAAATCAGTGGGATGCCTTAACATCAAAGCATAATTAGAAATTTGTGGAATACTTAAACATAAGAAGAATAAGTAAAACCACTTAGAACTATAAGAAAAAAAGAAATTTTATACATGACGAAATTATTTTTGGCTAATGTTCTCTGTAACTTAAAGCGTTTTTATTATAAATTAGTGACAAATCTTCTTATGAATTATATCGATATACAAGTAGCTGGTATTCTTAACGATAGAATAAAACTAATTCTAAAAGGGACAAAACCTCTGATATCACTTCGTGATCAAACTTGAACTGAATGGAATATCTTTAAATCAATACCTACAACTTTGTGTAGTCTGAACTAGTGACTCACTACAGGATGAAGTTATCTCACATTTTAGTGAGAATTCGTAAGCAGCATGGCCCACCAAGTTTGGTGTGAGGACTTACACTTACTGATGGCATTGGCTGAACGTCGTACTACTAATCACGAATCGGCAAAAGTTAGAATTCATGAGCTGATCACTGTGTTCCATTCGAGTGGCTGAATGGTCAAGGAGCTCGTGAAAGTGTGATGAAGGGTGGGCACATCTCAGAAGTCACAAAGAAGGGCGAAACAACTGTCCGGTAGTCACTAGTTTACAGTGGTTCAGTTCATTATCAAATCAACGTGAATAAATTGAAATTCTTGACTTATGAAAACGGTTACACTTAAAATTAGATAATATTTATTGGCATCAGCTGAAATTCTGTGAGAACGAAGAATACTTTACCCTTACGAAAGGACATACGACGTAAGCATATTCTTAATGTTACTATACATATACATATTTTTTTTTTCAAGTATTGGTTTTGTAGGGATTTTGTTTGATTGCATGGAGGATTTAATCATGAGCTGACATCAGTTGGAGAACCACTGGAAAACCTTGGATTACTGGACAGCTGTTTCGTCCTAGTTTGAGACTCCTCAGCAGTACGCACCCACCGGGAATCGAACCCAGGACCTTCTGGTTACAAGGCGAGCTCATAGACCATTGAGCCACTGGGACCCGATCCAATGGTCCTTGAATTCTAACTTCTGCCAATTCACGACATAGCGCGACCACTTCGCAATGTCTTCTTCGATGAGTTACTGCCTAATCTTCAACCTGCTGTACCCTACTGGTCACAGCAATACTTGAAAATTAATCTGTGCTCACTAGTGACTGGCCCTATTCAGGCAGTTAACCTTGGGTTCTAGTGGGAAGCCGTGACCAGTAGGGTACAGCAGGTTGAAGATTAGGCAGTAACTCATCGAAGAAGACATTGCGAAGTGGTCGCGCTATGTCGTGAATTGGCGGAAGTTAGAATTCAAGGACCATTGGATCGGGTCCCAGTGGCTCAATGGTCTATGAGCTCGCCTTGTAACCATAAAGTCCTGGGTTCGATTATCGGTGGGTGCGTACTGCTGAAGAGTCTCAAACTAGGACGAAACAGCTGTCCAGTACTCCAAGGTTTTCCAGTGGTTCTCCAACTGATGTCAGCTCATGATTAAATCCTCCATGCAATATATATATATAATAACCTGTGCGTCTTTCAATATCCCATCTTAGGAAGCTAATTTATTTGCAAATGTAGCAACTTCTTGAATATTTGCTGGAGGAAACAATCAGTAGTAACCCGTAAATTTGGATTTCGTTTTTGTCGATAACTGTCACAAGGTAAATAATCAATCATGGATGTACATTCTTCTATAAATCATGTATGATAATAAATAAATGGTATATATAGTTTGAAAGTATTTATATCATAACTTAATATTTACAAGTGACTACTGTCAAAAAAGGACACCTAAGAATTAAAATATTTTTGTTATGCAACCAGTATATTTCTCCACTCTATATAAACTCACCCACGCAAGTAGCTTTGCCTAAAAGCGTCAGTCACACATGTACTTAGACATTTCTAGAGATTAGACTGTTTGACTAATAATATTCAGTAAAATTTTACCATTTCTAAATACAGTCATCTTCTGATGACTTAGTTCTTTGCTATTCATTCACATTGTAAAGCATCTATACAAAGTATGATACGATTGCAATTGACTTGCGCTTTATTTATTATAAGAAAGGGTTTTGTATTCCCCGGTGAAGGAAAAACAAAACGATACTGTTTTAATTGATGTTTCGCTATTTAATGCACATAATATCTTTGTCAAAGTATTATTAGACTGGAATTCACAAAATCTCCTCGACTTATATATAACAACCTAATCATCGTTCCTCATAATGTGGTCGCTTTTGCAATGTCAAAATTGCCAGTTGGTAAAGATAAGAAAACCCAAGTGTAGGCTGTTGCATTTGATAAGTGTACAAGATTATAAAAGCAGTGTGTGTTTACGTAATGAAATTGCTTATCACATTCGTGTTGATTTTGTCACTTCATGGAGTGAGGCAGGTGGGTGTTGTTATCAGGTCAAATTTTGTTTTAGTCCACCACTCCTATTTAGACAATGTGGATTCCATATGATTCCACATGAAGTGCTTCTGATATCAGACGCTCTTTGTGACTTCTGAAATACTATTTCTGAATTATTTCAATATTTTCAAAATCAATTTTTTTGGCCTGAATCTATAATGTGCAGACCTATGGCTGATGATTTTGCAAGCATTCCTAGTTCAACTGGATTTCTCAGTGGTTGGTCAAACAGAGTCGCCCGTACGGTGTTCATTTCTTCTTATCTTGATATCTATCAAGGTTTGTCCGATGTATATCGCATCAAATTCGAAGCATTTTATTTTATAGACACAATCAGATATAGAATCTTTAGGGATTTGGTCTTTTATATGGACAAGGTTGCTTCACAACGTGTCTGATTTTTGAAGAAAACTCTAATGTTTTGCTTATTAAGTACTCTTCTTATATCGTCTGACGTGTCTGCTCTATATAGAATGACAACTGTTGAGGTACATGTTTTTGCAATACGTTTTCGATCATACTTAATGTCAGTGTCGATTTCGGAAGCTAAGTTCTTTGGGTATTTGTTTTCCTTAAGAGTCTCAGTATTGTTTGATATTTCTTCTTTTTCTTTCCCATCCGTTATCAAACAGTGCGCTCGTCTAAGAAGACCTGAAACAACTGATACCTTCGTGCTGATTGAGCGGGATGATCCAAAGTCTAAATATTTGTTGGAGTGTATTTTCTTTCTCTGTATATATTTACTGAAATGTCTGTTTTCCCGACTCTTCACTAGGCAGTCTAGAAATAGCAGTTCACCGACGTCGGATTCTGCTTTCGAAGTAAACTGGATTCTGTGAGATTGCTTGTTTGTTTTCTTCAGGAATGAACTGTATATATCTCATTTCAGCACCAAATAAGTAGCATCTGCTTTTTTTAACCATATTTCAGGAGTGAGTTTACTTGAAAAGATGTTATATTCGAATCTCTTAATGAAAAGATTAACGACTATTGGGGAAACTGGTAAACCCATAGCAACACCATTTGTCTGTCCATATAAATTCCCTTTAAATGAAACATACGACCTTGACCTTGGCGGCCTGTTGAATTTTTGGGCCTGCTAACAAAATATCTACATTTTGCATCCAGTTTCCCGTTTACCAGCATACACTTATCACTTAAATATGAATTCTAGCAGAATCATTTACTCTCGTAACTTTATTAATAATTTACGACCAAACGACTTTCATATTCCAAAGAAACCAAGGAGGAAACATCGTAGTGGTTGGCAGAGAGCTCTCAAACGTACACCAATACACTTAACTACGGTCCCCGTCATAATGAACTCAAACTGTCGCTCTCTACCAAATAAGATAATGTATCTACAATCCCTGATGTCAACTGATACGTATCATAACACTGCCATAATCGCATTACAAGAAACGTGGTTGCATGAACTGTATGATGACAACCTTATCTCACTAAAGGACTTTATTTTATTTCGACAAGACCGTCGCTGTTGTAATAAGAAAAATGGTGGTGGCGTTGCAACTTTTATTCACTCCAAATGGTCTGTCTCAAATAACATCTGCTTCACCTTCTCAAATGACTTCATTGACTGTATTACTGTCAAATGTCGCCCCAAACATATCCCCAAATACAAACAATTCTATATTACAAACATGTACATATCTCCTAGTTGCTCTCCATCTGATCTATCTAATTTTGCTGATGAATTCACCATGTTTGCTGCTGCCAACTTCGACAACTCTCTATCCGTTATTACTGGAGACTTCAACACATCAGATTGCTCCTTTCTTGAAGCTCTTGGTCACACAAATATAGTCAAATTTCCCACTCGACTTGACAAAACCCTTGACTTGGTTTTTACCAATGATGAAGGAGTATATGAAACACGTAGACGTTCACCGATACATAACTCCGATCACTGCATTGTCCGCGTTTTGCCAAAAATATACAGCAAAACACATATTAAAATCTTCTCACACCTGTCCACGAAGGCACAACAAAGAAGCTACACATCTGACAACTTACTCAATCTAAGATGCATGTTAAAAGATACCAACTGGGATTTATTTAATGAAAGTAAATTAGATGATACAATCGCCAATATAACGGACTATCTTAAGTTCTGCCTTGACATATGCTGTCCCAAACAAACACTGTTCAAACGCCTCGACCGCTTCTCGTCACCCCATCTCAAACAACTTCGCAGGCAAAAAGAAATGTTATATAAATGCAAAGACAAGTTAGGACTTAAAAAGATAAATGCTCAAATCAAATCTGAAATCAAAAATCTTAATGCTATCTATAACCAAACACTTTTATCATGCAAATCTCCAAACAGCATGTGGAAACTTTTCAATGAAATTACTGGCAATAGTAAGCGATGTAATGTTTTTCCCTCTTGTGATGTTAATGCTCTTAATCTGTCTTTTATACGCTCTCCTTCTACCATAACCACTTCTAATGTTACCAATCTTGTAGCTGATAACTTCCAGGACTTCAATACTCTCGATGTTTTGAAATGTCTTAAAACTCTTAAGCCCTCACATAGTCTTGGCCCTGATGGCATACCTGCATATGTCCTAAAACAATGTGCAGATGCTTTATGTTCTCCTCTAACTAATATACTAAATGCTTCTTTCTCCGAAAACGTTGTACCTGTTCCATGGAAAGACATTAAAATAGTCCCTGTCCCTAAACCTGGAAATAGCAAGAACGTAAAGTTCAGACCCATCGCCATCACTTCCCCGTTTCTAAAGCTCATGGAAAAACTAATACTTCTTAAACTCGAACCCTCCCTTAAAAGCTTCGAAGACCCCAAACAATTTGCCTACAGACAGGGTAGGAGTACTTTAGACGCTGCAGCCGTCTTACACAACAGTATTGTCTCATCATTAGACAAAGGTGCCAAATATGTCCGCTGCACGTTTCTTGACTTCACTTCTGCTTTCGACTCTGTACCTAGAAGTCTCTTGCTAAATAAGCTCTCCACGACACAAACCGAGTCTTGGGTCACTAAGTGGTTGCATTCCTACTTTTCAAACAGAATGCAGTACACCGTATACAAAGGTCAATCCTCCTCTGCTGTGCTCACTGAATCTGGTGTCCCCCAAGGTGCTGTACTCTCCCCACTTCTCTTTTCATTCTTCCTACATGACCTACCGTCTTCAAATGATATTAACTTTGTCAAATATGCTGATGACCTAACTGTATCTTTACCTGTCAAATGTCAAAATGACTGCTCTAAACTAAATGGCTTCTTATCAGAAATTAGCCAATGGTCCAAGGAAAACGGTCTAACCTTAAACCCCTCCAAATGCCAAACAGTTAATTTCACCTTTAGGCATAAATCTGACCTAAACAAACTGGTTAGCGCTCACGAGGTGTGCAACATAGATGGCACTGAAATAGAAACTAAGTCGGAAATTAAATACCTAGGCGTCACTCTATCTTCTGATCTTTCCTGGTCGTCTCATATCTTGACGATTTCCAAGAAAATATACCGTCTTACCTTCTACATCAAGAAGTTAAGACATTCTGGTGTAACCCAACCCTTACTACTACAATTTGTTAACTCCCGTATTCTGCCTATAATTCTCTATTGCTCCCCCTTAGTCTTTCCTGGGCTATTGAAGAAAGACTATACCTTATTACGTAGGATGTTAAAGGTTGTCAGCAGGGTAAGCAGCTTGCCACTTAGCCAGCTTGTTAACATTCTGGTGGACAGGCACATGGACTCATGTGAAAAATGGGCGAAGTCCATTTTATCTGACTCACAACACCCTCTACACTCACAACTCTCCCCATGTATCTCTTCAGGGAAAACAAGAAGTCTATATAGGAAACTATATGCTCGCACTAGTAAGTACAAAAACTCATCCATACCCTACCTAGCCCGTGTTCTGTGTGATAAAGAATGCATCAGGCATGAAACCTTTAACTTATTAAATAGTCACTAGAACCAATGAATCTCGTCTTTCCAACTCACATCATTTATAGGTACAACGTTTTCTCTCTCTTCATTCTGTATTTATTTTTGTTATGTGCTGTTTTGTTTCTCTCTTCCTTGCAAACTCTACTTAAAACATTCTTGTTCGTTCTTTTACACTCTGTATATCTCGACCATTTTGCTATCGCTTACGCCAGTAAATATGCTAGTAGTATCTACTTTTGTAACACCTTCAAACATTTTAATTTTGGCTTTGCTACCGACATACTAATATGTTGTTGAGATAATCTTTAAACTATGTAGAACTTTATTTATTGTTAATGTAAAAAAAACTGGATGCAATATTGTAGTAAAATGCTGAGAATTCCATTCTGTATCACAAGTACTGATTTGGAATAAAGCTTATATAATAATAATAATAATAATAATAAAATAAATACTTTCTAGACGGAATTTTAAGTTCTTAATTATTTCACTGGTTTCCAATTGACATCTTTGTGATAGCGTTGTATCTGATTCCAGCAGACTGGAAATGATATCAAGACTTTCGGTAATAGGAATGTATGAAAAGCAATTTATTTCTTAAAACTCAATAAAATTGGTTTCTAAACGTACATTGCTCAAATTGTTCCACTTTTGATGCTGTGATAAACAAAAACAAATACCATAAATTGATTTTGAGTTACGCTTTAGTGAAATTCATTTCGCCGTAGTCAAACAATTCACAGAAAATATACAATGAAGTGTATGTATACCACAAAAATTAGGAAAATAAATTTTATCAGAGGTAATTTACAACATCATGAATTTTATCCAGATTAAATAAACCTACATTTATTTACCAGCGTATCGTATAATCGTACAATTTTCCATATCTCCGGTATACATGTTGCGTCATTTCAATTACACGTGTGATGTTCGGGATGAATAAACGAAGATTCTGTGAATAACCTTCCTCTCCACATAACTAAGCATACAAAAGAATTCACTGCAATGGACGAACTTGTTTCTAGATTATTTAACTTGGAAGAATAAGTCAGTCATTCTCGATCTAGCTAAATTTCTGTATCCCAAAGATATAATTGACCCTAATCTACCAGTTTGACCTAAATAATTGACCTCACAGTCATATTATTTGATAACTTCTCTTATTTTGCTTCTTAGATCTATCAGCTTCTCGACCCAACAAAGATTAAAAGTTAGTCGGTTTATTTAAATATCACAGTGACTTTAAAATATATATTATTGATGTCAGTTTTGTAATTTCCATTGCTAATCTTATTTTTTTCCATGAGTCTTTAAACAATACTGAATAAATTCTGATAAGCAGTTACTCACGTTTGATTTTGGTTTAAGGTAGCATCTGTCTTCGAATTTAATTATTATTATCAGGAAAATCTTATATTTTGAATTTAACAAGTCTGCAAGCTTATGATGACGTAAAGTATCACAGAATATTTGCATATGGTGACCAACAATCCGACTGTATTGTCTTTTCCTTGGTTGTGGTCAAATACTTCCAGGAATGCCGATAATACCTTCCACAACTTGCAATCTTAAACTTGATCATTAATTTTACATTGTATTGCATTCTTTAATGTACATATATATAGATATGAAGCTGATATTCACGCTTACAATTCTCAGAACATGCTAGATAACCTAACATAGAAGCAAAGCAAAGAGAGAATACTGAGTAAAATGAGCATTTACTAAAATAAAATGAAAATTTCGATACCACCTAACTTCAAATTTTTTGATCTGACCGTTCACTGGCATAAAGCAGGCGCCATCCACACACACGGTCTGGGTTCGATTCCGAATAGATTCACTTCTTAATCTCTCCCATCTGTTAATACATCTTGGAAAGAGAACAGATTAGACAGGAGGCCAGAGACCTCGCTCCTTAAAAACGACGCCACAGGCACTAGAAAGCTTGGATGCATATTTTCCTGTCGGAATCCTATGAAATGAAAAAGAACTAACGGTAATGCAAGCTACGAAATCATCTTTATCTAAAGCTGACTTATCCATTTACGTGATTCTCGATAAAGTTTATGACTTCCTCTTTTCATTGGTAAATATCCTGTAATATACTTTTACAGTAGTTTAGGAATGATACCTCAGACTTATTCCAAATAATAGCCTCATATCAATGTATTAGGCGTAAACTTTTATGAGTCAAACAGCACTTTGATAAATGCAATTTTCATTACTTCGATATTAGTTTGTTTATTAGATGTATCACACGCAGTGGTGAAACAGTAGCATTTACTGGACGACAAAGTTTCGAACAAAATTCTCCATTGTTCATAATCATACAAATTATAATCACATGACTTCGAAATTTGAGTTTCATAGTTTTCTTTATCCTCTCCTATTTTTCATCACTGGGGTGACAGAATTTTGCCGATATCTGGGTGAACAGGTGTTGAATCATTCCAATTACAAGTGTTTGAAGTTGATTCGATAAACAAAGCTCCCGTTAATAATGCCTTTATCAATCAGTATCCCCGATTATGGCAGAAATATTCATGGATAGGTGGGAAAACATAGCGATTGAAACGTTCACATCCGCCCTCAAAAGTATGGTGTTGTTATGCGGATGTCATATTCACTGTATTTACAACGCAGGAAATAAACAGATTTTTAGAACACATTAACTTAAAGTTGGAAAAAATTCAATTCACCCGTGAATTGGAAAGTCAGGAAAATGAGCTTTCAACGTTAGATTGCAGCGTAAAAAAAAGAAAATGAGAAGTTAACCACTAGTGTTTACAGGAAACAGGGGATTCCTTATTGTCGGTGTTGTCACTATCCTGCGCATGTCTGACACGCATGTCGTCATTAAAATTATTATTATCACTATCACCACTATCATTATTTATTTTATTTTTACATTTCTGCACATATTTCCTGATAAATTAATCAGGAAATATGTGCAGAAATGTAAAAATAAAATAAATAATGATAGTGGTGATAGTGATAATAATAATTTTAATGACGACATGCGTGTCAGACATGCGCAGGATAGTGACAACACCGACAATAAGGAATCCCCGTCATCAGTAGTAATTCCATACAAGGAAGGAACCTTGGAAACCTTACACAGAATTCTTAACAAGGCAGGAATAAAAGTGGTTGGCATTAAAACCCACAAACTCAATTAGAAACAAGCTTTGTCGGTTTAAGGATCCTGTGGAGCCTTTTAAACAAAACAATTTAGTTTATCTAATACCCTACTGGAATGATTGTCAGGTCAAATACATAGGTCAAAGTAGTAGAAGAGGGCCAGTCAGACCAGCTGAACATAAAAACCCAGCAAAATCTAGATTAGTTGACCTGAATAAGATAAGAAATCTAGAGAATAGTTCAGCCATACCACTCGCTACATACAATTACACACCACCAAGCAATGGGATGCGATAGGACTACAGTTTTAAAATCTAAAGTAACAGAAGGGCGGAGGGAGAGATTGATATCGGAAGCGTGGTTTATCGAATCAACTACAAACACGAGTGATAGGAATGATTCAACACCTGTCCAGTCAGATATCTGGAAAATTCTACTACCACTAAGACGACAAATAGAAGACAAAGAAAACTATGAAACTGAATTTTGGAAGTCGTATGATTATAATTGATGAAGTGATTATGAACGGTATTAAATTTTGTTCGAAACGAGATCCTGTAAAAACTAATACCGTTCCACTGACTGTGCGATACAATAAATAAACAAACTAATATGGAATTACGTACAACCACAGTGCCCAAGTTTTACACATACATTAATTTTCATTACTGTGGTATTAATAAGGGGACTAACAGAAGAATGATTGTGCACCAACTCCTGTATATTCGTGTGAAAAAGAAGCATTAGTTTGCAATTATCTCATTTTAAAGAAAGAAAACGTTTTCTTTCAGGTTAGTAGCAAAATATTTAATGGATGTGATAAAAGAATATCCAGAAAATTATTTCGAACATAACTGGAATATTCTGTCTTTAGTGTTTATTAATCTTAAACCTGCTAAGTGTCTCCAAAACAATTCAGCGTGCACCATGATGGTGATCCACCTAACACGTTGAGCACATTGCATGCTTGACCCAGAGAATTTAGTATGCAATAAATAGAGGACTAGATGACTACTATATTTTATTTTAATCAAAGCAAATATCTATTTATTTGCTATCCGTCCATCCGAAGCAAAATACTAAGCCGCATCATCCTGGAGAGAATCAAACATTCTCCCTTGGATGAAAAGCATCCACCGGAATAGGCTGGATTCAGGAGGAACAAATTACGCATAGATCAAATCCCAACACTTCAGATCAACACTGAACAGAGCTTGGAATGGCAGTCACACAGTGAATTTCATGCAAATCTACGTGAACAGCTTAAAGAATATTTTAATTCACTGTTGTTATCTCCTAGTGACTTAGGAAAATTAACATCATTATTTTGTCGTAGCATAATTGGAAATCCGAGGAGATATCCGGAAAAGTCAATAATGTGTGCCTCATGACCTTCGATTTCCTGCTGGATTCAGGAGGAACAAGTCATGTGTTGATCAAATCGTAACACTACAGATCATCACTGAACAGAGATTGGAATAGCAGTCAGTCATCTCTCTACCTCAACTTTATTGACTTTGGAAAGGCTTTTGACAGCGTTGATCGAGAGGTGATTTGGCAACTACTTTGCTACTACGGGGAGCCCCCGAAAATTAACCATCTCATCCAACAGTTATCCGAAAGTGCTCAAAGCCAAGTAATCCACAGCGGAGAACTGTCGGAATCATTCAAATTGAGGACGGGAGTAAGACAAGACTGGCTGGCCGCCTATTATCTTCAATGACTTTCCTGATTGTAGGCGGTAGACTGAAAAATGCGACAGGTGGCGGGCCGGACAGTGAGAACAAAGGCATAAAATGGACTCACACAAGGAACTGGAAGGATCTCGATTTCGCCCATGATGATATATGTCTGATTATCCCCAAAATGAAAGGTATGTAAGTAAAAAGCAACAAGTCGGGAGGAGAAGCATCAAAGATGGCAAGGACTTCAGATGAACATAGAGAAAAGAGAGGTGATGAAGTTTCCTGATCGACAGCTACAGCAACAGCAATAACAACAGACAATAATCAGCATAAATGGCAGGAACCTGAAAGAAGCAACCTCCTTTACCTATCTGGGGAGCATAGTTTCAACTACAGGAGGACGGAAGTGATGAGGATATCAAAGCGGAGATCGGGAAAGCAAGACAAGATTTCATTAGTATCAAGTCTGTGCGGATGTCAACAGCAATCAGCATAAAAAATAAGATCCAGATTTTCAACTCCAATGCGAAGTCAGTGTTGCTATACCGATCAAAGATTTGACACCTGTTTATGAGGAGGACATCAAAAATCTACAGACTTTAACTGTCAGTGCTCAATACTACTCAAGATTGGATGACCAGCCAGAAAAGATAAGCAACAGGAAAGAATCTCTAGCTATGAACCAGCCAACTCAGCAGGAAGCAACTGTGCAACAAATAAGCAGGAAGAAATGGAGGTGGAATGGCCATACTCTGAGAAAACAAACCATCAAGTGATATCACACTCCTGCCTCTCACTCGAGTGGAACGCAAATGGAGAGCAGCTAGTTGGTCGTCATTGCGAAGGTGACATGGATGAGGTCATATGAAGAGGGGATGAAAGCGTGTGGGCAGACGTGGTGTGAGGTTCAAACGCTGGCAGAGACCCGAACGCAATGGAGTCGTGCAGCTGAAGTCCTGGGTTCCTCGAAGAACCTAAAGCAGCAATAATAATATCTGCTATTCTCAAAATCTTATTTGTCTAAATTTTTACCCCTCATTCACTGATTATGTTGAACCAAAGTGAATAACCTGTGTTTACATACCAGCTCCTAGGGTAAACACTTCGATAATATCTGATAGTTGACATGATATCATTTTGAAGGCTAGTGAAACGATAAGGGCTGAATGCAAGTCTTGATGGAAATCTCAAACTGAGGTTGTAGGCACATTCATCTGACAATTCTCTGATACCGCAAAATGCGTATATTGAAGTCCAATGTTAGCTGAAATCAAAAAATAAAACTGATTTTTATCATCAGTAACCTGTTTCTTCTTCAAAGTTATTCATTTATGATTTGTATTGCAACTTTATTTTATCATAGATTTTATAGTGGTCAATAAGGTTTATGACATCGTGCCCATTGCAGGCCACCACCCGAGTGAAATTCGAATTCGCAGTGACCGGTGGGTCATTGGTACGAGGATGATATGGAGGGGAATGTGTATTGTGAGGAGGAGATGAGACATTATGGTCAATAGTCGGGTCAGGTAAAGAGGACAGCAGAAAACAGATGTAAGTGGAGATGTGTTGTTGAAGCATTATGTTCCACTCAGCACCCAACGGAATAATTATAATGGGAAAATAATTAAATACATATATACTTGTATGTAGAGGATTAAGTGCCTGAAGGGTTCGTATAAAAATGTGATGAATTCATTAAATCTTGCTTTATTTGCTACATTTGCGGCTTGTTTCAACTTGATATATCTGCATATGAGATAATTATATCTCTGCCAGTTACATTTGAAATGCTCTGTCATACTGTAATCCAAACGATTTGAAAATTAAGGTTATAAAGATCCTTATAGAGGCACAGTCTTCAACTTTAAATGTATTCAAAACTATCACACCATAAAGTGCTTTTAAACTGTTTATTTAACTGAATAGTAGTGCTAGTAATTCAGTCTGAAGTGAGCTTTTAAAATCCTCCACCAGTTTATTGGTCATCTGCCCTGGTAACCTTGACCGTGATTGGTTGTTTTATATTAACAATTATTGAGTCGTGCTTTTAAATTTAAGTTTCAGGACGATTTGATGTGATTTAAACCAGTCTTTTAATCTTGTAACTAAACTATTCATTTTCGCTTATAAATTCTGTGTTAAATCTCTCAATAAAATCAGGTGTTCATGCTTACTAACCTCCTCTACACATCCCCTCACCTGAATCGAAATTACCAGGAGATAAAAATATAAGTTGAAAAATAACAAAAAAAATAAATAACTGACTATCTAACTGGAATGAATTCACCAAAATAGATACACATTACTTGCGTAGTGAAGGGTGGAAACCTCTATCTACGTGACTAATTCATTCACGTTTTATTACCAGAAATAGATAAACTGAGTGAAATGTAGAACTTCACATTATGAACGTTTTGTGTGGATACGTTTTGTATCATTTATTCCCTTATGTTCCCAGTGGAACATAGGGAGGCTTACAGCTAGAGCTTTGGATTTTCGATAGCAGTGGTGTTTATTTTTAAGGGAGTGGGCTGGTAGCCTTTGTTTTATTTTCCAATTGGGTGTTAAGTTTAAGTATTCCTTATTCATAATTTTAGGTAAAATTGACATAATCATTTGCATATATCTGCCCATGATAGCCAAGTGATAATAGTACATCCTTTTCAAATAATCAAAAATAGGCGTTGTACTTGACTAATCATGTGTGCTATATATGTGAATAAAGATTAGTCCGTAAGTTTATTATTATTGCTGTAATACTTTGCGTTCCGATTGGAATTCAGGATTTCAAGATATAGCCATAGAGTTTCAGCAGCAGAGGCTTTTATTTTTTACACAGTGGAGTTGCTAGACCCACGCCACATCATCACACTTTACCGAGCTTACAACCGATTTAGCCAGGTTAAGCAGTGTGTTGACAGAGGATTGAGCCCCTTCCCCGTCTGGAGTGGCTGGTGCATATTCTATCAGTGAACAATCAATGCAAATGTATTAGTTTACGGTAACATTATCACATTATTTAATTATTTCTCACAAAAGTAAACTACAATATTTTCCCACATAGCCATCTGTAATAAAAGAGAATGACTTATCATCATTATATTGTGTTATCAGCCTTTGAGTGAAACTTCTGATTAATTGATGCAAAATCTTCCAACCTCCTTGATTACTAAATTAACACAACAAAAAATGAGAATACTTCAATGACACTTGTATTACTGTAAAGTGATTAATGTCTATCTCACAGTTATTTTCAAGGGCAATATTTAATCACATCTTCATACTTTCTGTCACCCCGGTCATTAGATAAGGGAGTCTAAAATAGCCGATTCCATCTTATAACATATCGGTTCATCTCTTCTGTAACAAATACCACTGTTCTTGTATATTTCTGCTGTACTCCGATATTTCAGTACTTCTGTGGTGAGAGCTGTCTGCTAGCCAAAATTAGTAGACAGCAATTTACGTCAAGGCGTTTGTCCCAAATCTTGATCATGGGAAAAACAAAAACAGAGCCAAACCTTGAGGAGCTCTACAGTCAATCACAGCAGACTTTGAGTGGGAGGATACGATTAGCAGATATATGGTCTGAACTTTCAAATAAAGGACCATAAAGACATGACAGAATAACGACCAATCAAAAGACGCTGTTTATATGCTAATGATAACGAATAATAGTGCACATAAAAATCAATAAATAAATATCTCGAGATTTCTTCAATAAACGATCTGCTGCCTAACTCCTGCCTTCCATCGTTACACTTCTGTAGATTTCAAATATAATTAATTGTTGTAATAAAATAAAATAAATGTAGGATGCTCTCCAGAGCTATAAAATTGTCTGAAATCATCATTTGACTTACATTTGTTACACTCTGTCGTGCCTGTGTTTTAAAATGTAATTATAAATAAAGCTTCTGTTAGTATGTGAAAGACTTTATGTTCAAATAAAATTGAGAAACAAATATAAGATTTCGTTATTCTTACATTCCTCGTCTATAAACAAGAAGAAATGAAAAGAAATCATTATTTTAACCGATCTACATCATAGTACATGCACACTCGTTAATCATCATTAGAAAATCAAAACAAGTGATTCAGCGAAGAGACTCTTTTCAACGAATTTATCATCAAGCTGTACAGTCGTATATATATGGTTTTACAGAAGTTATATACCGTGAGGGAATTGAATCTTAGGTATGAATGCACAAAATAATAATAATAATCATATGAAGTTCAATTAAAACTAAATTGCTTGTGATTATAGTCGTAGTTAAATGTCAAGTGCCAAAGCAGATTAATGTCATATATAGAATAATTCATAGGAGGGATAGAACTTGAAAAAGGATGTGCAATTATAGGATTAGTAGACAAATCGAATAAAACAAAAACGTTACGTAATATTGTGTGAAATTTAACAGCATAGAATTTATCGTTGTAAAAAACAATTGATTTAGAATGACAAGTGGAACAAGTGAAATAATACCGGGGACAGTTCACAGTGAGAATAGTAATAATAACAATTGACTTATTAAGGAAGAGTATACTAATTGAATAGACAAAATGAAAAATGAAAAATTGGTAGAGCTAAAATATGATTTGGGATTATCATATTTTAGCATAGAGGGATTAAGACCATGAAAGTTGGAGGGCTTGAACGAACTTTTTCTGTACACAGAGATCTGGCTTTTCTGTTTCGATAGCCAAAGCTTCAGCAATACAGATGAGTCGGGTACGTAGGGATTTGGGTAGATTGCTCTTTGCCTTGTAGATGACTTTAAAGGCGGAGGCTATAGAGATAGGGTGATCACTATCGACCAGATGTTCTATGATCGCGCTTCTTATTGCTCCACTTCCACCTTTTCGTAGCCATGCAGGATAATGTTCTTGCACCCTCTTGGACAAAACTCGAGTCGAACGACCGATATACCTAGCTCCACAAGAGCAGGTGAATTGATAAACGCACATAGAGTTGGTCAGCATTGGGATCTTGTCCTTCAGGTTATTGAACAATAATGGTCGGCTGGTAAAAGCTATTCTCAGAGAGGCAGAAGGGAATGTTCTTTTCAGGGACTGAGATATCCTTCGTTTCATGATATCGGAAGCTAAGTCCCCTTTGAATTCTAAGCTCATGTAAAGTATTTTCTTAGGAGCGGTTGATAAGTCATGTTTTATAGGATTTGAATGTATATTCTTATCTATAAAACGTAGTGGAAATCCATTTTCCATTAGGATTTTCCTCAAAGTGTATAACTCATCTTCCACAGTATCAGTGCTACATTTGCGTCGAATACGAGTGGCAAGCGACCGGACCAGATTTCGTTTTCGACCAATGGGTACTTAGCTGTAGAAATTTGTCAGTTGATCATTCCATAACAGCTTACGATAAATCGATCTCTTCAGAGTTCCATCGGTCCTTCTTGATAAGTTCACATCGAGGAAATGAATAATAGACTCGTTCTCCATTTCGAGTGTGAATTTTATCGCAGGATGGCACTCATTAAATACATTTAATAGATTATTCAGATTACAATCAATAATAGAAATAATAAAGGTGTCATCTACATACCTTTTATATATTTGAAAGCTTTGGATAATAGGCTTCAGGGAACCATTTTCTAGACTGGACATAAAAACGTCTGCAAGGAGAGGACCCAAGGGAGAACCCATCGCAATACCATCCTTCTGCCTGTAGATTGTTTCATTGGAAGACAACTGTAAATTGAATATAGATACCCGCTACAGATCTTAAAGAACTTTTTGAGATGTACATATGTATAGTTTACTTTCTAGAATAGCTTTGCCGACCATTATTGTTCAATAACCTGAAGGACAAGATCCCAATGTTGACCAACTCTATGTGCGTTTATCAATTCACCTGCTCTTGTGGAGCTAGGTATATCGGTCGTTCGACTCGAGTTTTGTCCAAGAGGGTGCAAGAACATTACCTTGCATGGCTACGAAAAGGTGGAAGTGGAGCAATAAGAAGCGCGATCATAGAACATCTGGTCGATAGTGATCACCCTATCTCTATAGCCTCCGCCTTTAAAGTCATCTACAAGGCAAAGAGCAATCTACCCAAATCCCTACGTACCCGACTCATCTGTATTGCTGAAGCTTTGGCTATCGAAACAGAAAAGCCAGATCTCTGTGTACAGAAAAAGTTCGTTCAAGCCCTCCAACTTTCATGGTCTTAATCCCTCTATGCTAAAATATGATAATCCCAAATCATATTTTAGCTCTACCAATTTTTCATTTTTCATTTTGTCTATTCAATTAGTATACTCTTCCTTAATAAGTCAATTGTTATTATTACTATTCTCACTGTGAACTGTCCCCGGTATTATTTCACTTGTTCCACTTGTCATTCTAAATCAATTGTTTTTTACAACGATAAATTCTATGCTGTTAAATTTCACACAATATTACGTAACGTTTTTGTTTTATTCGATTTGTCTACTAATCCTATAATTGCACATCCTTTTTCAAGTTCTATCCCTCCTATGAATTATTCTATATATGACATTAATCTGCTTTGGCACTTGACATTTAACTACGACTATAATCACAAGCAATTTAGTTTTAATTGAACTTCATATGATTATTATTATTATTATTTTGTGCATTCATACCTAAGATTCAATTCCCTCACGGTATATAACTTCTGTAAAACCATATATATACGACTGTACAGCTTGATGATAAATTCGTTGAAAAGAGTCTTTTCGTTGAATCACTTGTTTTAATTTTCTAAATGTTACAATGGGAATTTTCCATGAGTTAAAAAATAGCAAAGATCCCTTGACAGTAAAGGAACTCAACGGGTTCCTGCGTTATTCTGTCAAACTTGCCGTGGTGAATGCAGAGATTTGTTTTCTTAATGAATGCATCAATAATCATGAGTATCCGAAATGGTATTGGAAAGTGCTCCGACGCAATCACATATATCCTAATGCAAAATCTCTCAAGAGACACGCATTGAATCACATTGATTCTATCAGTTCACGTATCCCTGAGCTAGAAAGGAATATATCACAAAGATCTTCTGCTCTATATGACTTATCGGTTGATGAACGTCAGACGTTTAATGATTATGTCAATGTGGTCACCAACAAACAAACTATGTCTTTTAATTCGAAGCTATCTAATAGCCTAAAACCTATCGAACGTCTTCGAAAATTTCCTGAGAATTCGGAGAGATACGTGTTCAACCACTCCTCTATATCTTTATCGAAATTACAAATGGAAGCCTTGTCTATGGGCTCGAAGTTTTGCGATGTTAATCTCAATATCAACAAGCTACATACTCATGTCCAGTTTGAGAATTTACTCAGTCAAACCTATGATCTCACACCATCGTCAGACCAGGATTTCCAATGCTTCAAATCTACCATTACGGACTCCTGCAATCAATACCTTAATGCTAGATCAAAAATGCAAAGTCTTCTTACTAAACAGCACAAAGAAGAACTTAAGCTTTTGACGCATAACAGCGATATACTATTAACACGCCCTGACAAGGGTACAGGTGTTGTTATTATGGATCGAAAAGATTATATCGATAAAATGTCATGTCTACTTTCAGACAGCAGTAAATTCTCGAAACCGAACGAGAAAAACAAGACGGAATTAATTGAGAAACAACTTACTGATACTTTAAAGAGAATGAAGAACAATCATCTCATTCGTGAAGAATTATACGAAAAGATCAGACCAACAGGATCTCTAATACCAAGACTGTATGGTCTACCGAAAATACACAAAGCTGGAGTTCCACTTCGCCCTATCTTGGATATGTCTGGATCGCCCTATCATCCAGTAGCTGGGTGGTTAGCTGAAATCCTCGAACCAGTCAGGGGGCAACTATCTAATCATTCCCTTCGGGACACCTTCCAATTTGTTGAATGTATACAGGATATAAATGCGTCGAATAAACAAATGTTGTCTTTGGATGTAGAATCCTTATTTACGAACGTTCCACTGACAGAGACCATATGTTTTATATGCAAATATATTGAAGACAACAAATTGAACATAGGGATACCTACTACAGATCTTAAAGAACTACTTTTGAGATGTACATTGAATGTACAGTTTACTTTCAATGAAACAATCTACAGGCAGAAGGATGGTATTGCGATGGGTTCTCCCTTGGGTCCTCTCCTTGCAGACGTTTTTATGTCCAGTCTAGAAAATGGTTCCCTGAAGCCTATGATCCAAAGCTTTCAAATATATAAAAGGTATGTAGATGACACCTTTATTATTTGTAATATTGATTGTAACCTGAATAATATATTAAGTGTATTTAATGAGTGCCATCCTGCGATAAAATTCACACTCGAAATGGAGAACGAGTCTAGCATTCATTTCCTCGATGTGAACTTATCAAGAAGGACCGATGGAACTCTGAAGAGATCGATTTATCGTAGGCTGTTATGGAATGGTCAACTGACAAATTTCTATAGCTGGGTACCTATTGGTCGTAAACGAAACCTGGTCCGGTCGCTTGCCACTCGTATTCGGCGCATATGTAGCACTGATACTGTGGAAGATGAGTTATACACTTTGAGGAAAATCCTAATGGAAAATGGATTTCCACCACGTTTTATAGATAAGAATATACATTCAAAGCCTACAAAACGTGACTTATCAACCGCTCCCAAGAAAATACTTTACATGAGCTTAGAATTCAAAGGGGACTTAGCTTCCGATATCATGAAACGAAGGATATCACAGTCCCTGAAAAGAACATTCCCTGCTGCCTCCCTGAGAATAGCTTTTACTAGCCGACCATTATTGTTCAATAACCTGAAGGACAAGATCCCAATGTTGACCAACTCTATGTGCGTTTATCAATTCACCTGCTCTTGTGGAGCTAGGTATATCGGTCGTTCGACTCGAGTTTTGTCCAAGAGGGTGCAAGAACATTATCCTGCATGGCTACGAAAAGGTGGAAGTGGAGCAATAAGAAGCGCGATCATAGAACATCTGGTCGAAAATGATCACCCTATCTCTATAGCCTCCGCCTTTAAAGTCATCTACAAGGCAAAGAGCAATCTACCTAAATCCCTACGTACCCGACTCATCTGTATTGCTGAAGCTTTGGCTATCGAAACAGAAAAGCCAGATCTCTGTGTACAGAAAAAGTTCGTTCAACCCCTCCAACTTTCATGGTCTTAATCCCTCTATGCTAAAATATGGTAATCCCCAATCATATTTTAGCTCTACCAATTTTTCATTTTTCATTTTGTCTATTCAATTTGTATACTTTTCCTTATTAAGTCAATTGTTATTATTACTATTCTCACTTTGAACTGTCCCCGGTATTATTTCACTTGTTCCACTTGTCATTCTAAATCAATTCTTTTTTACAACGATAAATTCTATGCTATTAAATTTCACACAATATTACGTAACGTTTTTGTTTTATTCGATTTGCCTACTAATCCTATAATTGCACATCCTTTTTCAAGTTCTATCCCTCCTATGAATTATTCTATATATGACATTAATCTGCTTTGCCACTTGACATTTAACTACGATTATAATCACAAACATTTTAGTTTTAATTGAACTTCATATGATTATTATTATTATTTTATGCATTCACACCTAAGATTCAATTCCCTCACCGGATATAACTTCTGATAAACCATATATATACGACTGTACAGCTTGATGATAAATTCGTTGAAAAGAGTCTCTTCGCTGAATCACTTGTTTTGATTTTCTAAATGTTACAATGGGAATTTTCCATGAGTTAGAATCATCATTAGGACAATATCAGTTTGAAGTCAGTTCAGACGCTTGAGTAGTCCGTTAATCAACAATTACTATCATATGGGAATATGGAAACCTATTGACACTTATGATAGACGAGTTGAAATTCACCAGTCACATTCTTATAACCGATCTCTTTGTATCACTGACAGTTCCACAGTTTATTCCGAATATTGTATATAAATAAGAAAACTGCTGCACAGCACACACTGATTTCACGTTAATAAGGTTGGTTTGTGCGTAAAAAGACTTTATTGCTTAAGACTGTATAAAGAATGTCACTTTATAAGAGTTCATCTGAATAGTTCAAGTCGTTATCCAGTGCTACAAAATGCTGTCTTAAAAAATCAATTACCTGTGTATTTTAAGATAACACTATCTTCAAGAATCCCACCAAGGATGACACATCAGTTTATATATATATATATAATATTAAAATTTGTCTTACTCTACTAGTTAGTGAGTGCACTGCCAGTTACTTCATCTCCCTAACTGGCGGTACACAAGGGTAGAAAGAATAAACCTAGAAGTAATTCATTCCTACTACTATTGAAAAAAATGAATAACAAAGCGCTCTTTTCTTGATATCTGTGTGACAGGAGTTTTTTTGTGATGCGGCTTCTGTGAAATCAAGGAAAAGCCGTTTGCTTAATATGCGGATATTTAAAAGAGCTGATACAATATTTTAACGTTTTCCAACTTTCAAAATGCTGGAATGAATTAGCGTTCTCAGTTTGGTGTTTTCCCATAAACACAATAAAAACTGTACAATCACATTTATATAGATTGCTCTACATGAATACAATTATTATTAGTTAAATTCCACATAGTAACGAAGGTGATAATGAAACGTGTTAGAGAACATCATCCAGCATGGCTGCAAACAGGAGGCACTGGTTCAATCAGAAGTGCCGTAGCTGAATATCTCGTCAATACCCGTCAAAAAATCTCAACTGACTAATCATTTAGAGTTATTTACAAAGTAAACAAAAATCTACTAAAGGCAGTGTGTTTCCGACCTCTTCGTACTGCGGAAGCTCTCGCCATATGCATCGAAAAGCCGGAGCTGTGTTCAAAATAAACTAGTTCAGCTTACAACTACCATGGACCTAGTTCGGTATGTTCCCTTAGCCTTCAGTTTCTTTTGTTTTGTTATCTGTGTGCGTAATTTTCTCTCACTGCCTTCATTCAATTCATCCCATTTTTCAGTTATAAAATCAGTCATTTGAAGTTTGTTTCCACGATCCTCCTGATCACACTTATAATCCTTTAGGAATAACCATTTTACAATTATATTCTGATCCTGTTTGATTTTTTGTTTCTCTGCCTCTTATAATCTACATTCACACCTAACTTACATTTCAAATTGAAAATGTTTAATTTCAATTTGTTTCCATGCTCATTTTGTTCACACCCGTAATTCTTTCTATCCCCGTGTAATTTTTGTTTCTACGCTTCTCGTAATTCATATCAAGTTAAAAATAACGGTCACCCTTTATTCACCATGAAAATTATTTCTCCAGTTATCAAATAATAATTTTGCATACGTTTTTTACTGTTTTCTAATTCTATGTAATCTTTTCTCTAAGCCCCTTGTAATCTATATTCGTACCACCAAACTTTTATATCAAGTTGAAAATTATTATCATCTTCGTAACTGTGTAAAATTAAACATATAATATTTGTGTCCACGTAAACTAATCTATATAAATGCGATTGTACAGCTTTTGAGAATGAAATCACCGAAGAGATATCTTTGCTGAACTTCTTCTCTTCAATCTAATGCTGTAATAGGTATTTTCCACGATTTGAAAATAAAAACTGACAATATTTGTTAGGTTATAAACAGCTTAATGTATGATGCAACGTTTAAGCTGTCTAGGTTCAGTGAAGCTTTTGGAAAAACGACGGAATTGACAGAAGCATAACATGATACTGAAAACTTGGTTACAAATATCATATGCATGTAAAGTATGACAATAAGTTAGACATAGGATTATTATTTCTTTACTTCCTTAATCGGCGAGCACTTCACCGCTGTGCCACTGACGCACATAAACATAGTTGGTGTGCTTTAGATGCCACTGTTGTCTTACATTATTATATTGTCTGTGGTCTAAACAGAGGCGCTAAATAGGTTTTGTACGTCTTCCTAGATTTTACATTTGCCTTTGACTCTGTGTGCTTCACCTCTTTTGTTAAACAAGTTTGCTATGACACAAGCAGGATACTGGACTATTAAGTGGTTGCATTCTGATAGTAAACAGTGTACTGTACACAGTTGGAAGTCCACTACTGCTTCACTTACTCTAGCTGATGTTCCTGAAGGTGCTGTTCTTTCTTCTTTTCTGCTTTCTTTCTTTCTGCATGATTGGCCTTATTCTGGTGAGGCCAATTTGGTTAAGCATCCCAATGACCTAGCTGTTCCCATACCGATTACTTCTCAGTCAGATCGCTCAAAAATGAATAACATGTTATCTAAAATTAATTAGTGATTCTTTTTCAAGTGGCCTAAAGTTACATTCCTCCAAATGTCAGATTGTTGACCTCATTTACATGAACCGATTCATTACCATGATTATACTATCATAGAAGGTACCGAAGTTAAAACTTGGTCGAATTACAAATACTTTGGTTTATGTCTTTCCACTGATCTTTCATTTTCTTCCCACATCATATTTGTTTGTAGACAGAGATTTAGTTTAACGTCCCATGTAAGCGAGCTAAAACACTTTGATATCTTTCAGCCTCTACTTTCACATGTTGTAATTTCTTGTACTTTATGTATTCTTCTTTATTTCTACCCCTTTAATCTTTCCTCAATTAATTAAAAATACTTTATTACACAGCAAAAGGCATTAAAAGTTGTCAGTAGGGAGAGTGACGTATCACCAAAGCAACTTTTTAATAGTGTTGTAGATAGACACGTACTCCTGCGAGTAATTAGAAAATATCATCTTGTCGAACCTTGAGCGTCCTCTTTATAGACAACTCTCCTCTTGCATCTCATCAGATAAAACATAAAGCAACTATAGAAGGCATTACGCCTCAACGACTAAGTATAAAAACTCTGCGATACTTGATGTAGCGTGCATTCTGTGGTAAGAAAGCTGTAATGCATGAAAGAACTAACTGACTTAACAGCACTAAGTGAACAGCCCTAATTTTCTCATCAATATCTTGTTGTGTTTATATTTTCACATGAATTTTATATTCACATTCTTACACAACATTATTACCAGTGTAAATACCTTGTCTAATCATTGCTCCCTTACTATGCAAATAGAAAATCAGATGCAATGTTTTAAACATGCAGAAAATATTTGTACCAAGAAGTAGTGTTTAGAATAAAGCCATTATTATAATGATTACCGTCACTACTCGATGATGAAAATCCTGAAGTGTGAACTAACTTACGGTAACTTTTGGCGGCTAAAATATGTTGAAGTAATCCGTTTATTAGTCAACTTGAATTTTAAAATTATAAAATCGTTTGTGAATAACAAATATTATCAATATACAATCATTCAACTGTTAACATTTAAAGTGGTTATTTAAAAATGAAATCCATCTATAGTTATAAAACGTAGTACAATAACAGCCCATTAATCAAATTAGTTAATCAAAAGAAGCTATGTGAAATCCCAACGACACACAAGGCTTTAACTAGTTTTATCTCTACAAATGACTTTTATTTTTCAAGAAAGTTTTACTCAATGTCATCAAGTCAGTGGAATAATCTTTCTATCAGTAAGCATATAAAAAAATTATGATACCACTTATTTTTAGTTCTTAATAATAGTTAATATTGAAAGAAGTACTTTGTTAATTTGATTCCTATCAAGTGAAGTTCATAAACTGTCTTGCTACTGCCTACCTACTGTTTCTAGGTATCAAACACAATCGCTCCTCCTCAGTCTTTCCCAGGCTACTCGAAAAGGACTATATCATATTGTACAAGGTATTAAAGGTTGTTAGCAAGACAAACGGTGCATCATTAATTCAGTTAAACTCTTTACTGCTGTAATCAGTAGACACCTAAGAAATGGTCCAAATCAGTATCGTCTAACTGTCAACACCCATCTGTTCTCAACTCTCCTAGCCTTGTACCTCACCAGGTAGAACTAGAAGTCACATTATAGAATATTATATGCTAGTAAAACCAAATGCAGAAACTAAGCGACATCATATGCGGCCTGTGTCCAATGTGACAGAGATAACGTTGAGTGAGAAATCTACAACTTACGTATTTGTTAGCAAAATAATAAGCTCTATTATTATCTCCTCTTTGTAATTCTATGGTGACATTAATTTAATTAACTTATAATTAACTTATAGGCGTAGAGTGTTGGGCACAGAGGGAAAATCAATCGACGAGGCTATAAAGTTACATAGACTAAGATGGCTAGGTCACGTGCTGCGCATGCCTAACCACCGCCTCCCCCGACGGGCTTTGCTAGCTGATATAGGTTCAGGTTGGAAAAGAGCCAGTGGTGGCCAAACAAAAACATGGCATCAATCCATGAAATCCTTGACAGTTAAACTGAGTCGGTCAGGTAGGGAGATGCAGACTCCCGGGTTGGGGCCCTCGGGACTCTAGGAATCAATGGTTGGAGACAATAGGTGAAATGGCTCAAAATCGTTGTCAATAGCCAGTGCAGATGTATTCAGTCTCTGTAATCTTTCATATTCCTTTCTACCATTACCCATTCTGTTTCACTCTTATACTTGTCAAACTCTATTAATTCTCTTCACTCATCTTCTTGTCTACCTCTGTGGGCTATTTGGAACGTGGCAACTCGAACTGCTGCATTTCGGTGCCAATATCTATGTTGAATCCAGACAGACAAACAGAGAACTTATAATTTAACCATCAACAATATTATTATTATCATCACATAATTTTTGTACAATTTTGATTTTATCGTCACTGAAAATACCAGTGTGTCAGAAGTACCGTTTTGAAATAAACAAGCTATTTTGTTGGTAATAGATAGCTGAAGGCAATCGGCCACAGGAAGCCTTGCTTGACCTAGGTTTTGTCGTAGTTGGCACTCGTCAGAAAGGCATATCTGCTACCTTGAAGGACTAAACACGTCACATTAGTTACTAGTGTCCAATCAAAATATCCACTACAGTCCTACAGGAGGTTAGCTGCGACCCCTAATAGCTCAGTGGTGACGTCTGTGACTGCAGCACTGGGTGACGCGGGTTCAAATCTCAGAAGGGACATGAGTATCTTCAAGATTTCAGATACGCCTCACTGACTGGTGAATACCAACTAGCAGGAAACTAAGGTCGAAGACCTCCTTCCAATTGCCTACAACTTTCTAATATCATCAAAATCAATAGGCATCGTGATGGCGAGCTACCTAGAATGGTGACTACATTGCAAACCTCACTGACAGAATTCAGTCTGCACCAAACAAAGGACTAGACACATCACAACAGTCCCTAGTGTCCGATCAAAAACAACCTATTACTGTTAAAAAGGATTATTTCAGAAATCATAATTTGATCCGTCTGAAAAACAGGTATCCACTTACCGTATATGCTACCTAAAATTCATTAATTAAATATCAAGTCTCAAACATATTCTATGTGTAATGATTCGAAGAACATTCAAATCATTTTGTCATCTAAAACATTCAGCGCTTAAATTTGGCGTAGATAAACGTTACAATTATTGAACCTTGAATATTGAACGTTTTAATAAGCCAACTATCATACACACATGGCATTATAATATTTAAAATCTCAGTAGGAATTAAACTATAACTTGTATCAAATACACACAAAGTACAAATTACTAAACAACTCAGACTTGTGAAATATTTAGCTAATTTCATATATGTCCCAGATATTTGTTTTAATGAATCCCAATGAGGCTTCGAACCGCCAATCTTAAAATCATACTGACCAAAAAAATGACTTTATACGAATTTATTATGCAAAAATTTAATAACGCAATTACTTGATCTATTCAAATAAATTTTCACACGTGATGGATAATTTAAATGTATTTAAAGAATCCCTGTATTTAATCCTGTTTAGGTACTATCACTTGTATTCTCCCACATAAACTGCTCTTTTATTTTTGTTAAAGTGGCCGATACATTGTTCGAGAAATATCTTCAGTTTATGCATTATCCTTCAAGAATCACAAATACCTAATCTATTTTCAATTGTAATTCTCAGCATTTCACATATGGCTTCAATATAAGCAGCCATCAAGGAGTAATAAAAATTCAGTGTTAAGCGTCTCCATAGCCCAAGTGGCATTCTGGATAGTTATTTGACTTTTAAAATGGTGGCAGCTGGATTCGATTTTCAGTAGCTGAAACACATATCACTCACTGCGGATACAAGCGAATTCCATTGATGAGTCCCAACATAGGAAGAAATGCTCATTCTGTATTCCACTGCTAACCACCTTTAACCAAGATAGAATCTTTACTAATTAATATTGAACATGAAATAAGATATGATAGAGAAGATTTGTGGCTCAGGTGGATGATTTTGATATGGTTGTGTCCTCTGAGCTGGATAGTTAATTTGCGAAGCTTTCATCGACCTACAATTTGAGGTGGGCTTCTAGATTTCTCAACGAGTTTATTAATCATCTCTCTCGATGGGACGTGATTACAACGTGATTAGTTGTTTTATGTGTTTTCACACCATCTAGGCAACAACTTGCATTGGAACTGACTGTTTCTTTGGCTTGAACTTTGACCCTGTGTATGTGAGGTTTCTTTCTTATCGGTCGATAAATTTTGCCTATCTCGATGTGTCTATTGATTGATGATTCAAGTCAAAGGAATACCCTTTGGAACACCAATATAAAGTATGATTGCAGAAGCACTGATGCGAACGCTCGAAAACATAATCCTACCAAAGATCAAACACAAGATTTGGATACGTTACGTTGAGGACACATTTGTAATAATCAAAAGCAAGGAGTTGGATAAAGCTCACAACTTAATAAACAACATCTTCAACGACATCAAATTCACGAGAGAAAAGGAATCCGAGAACCAAATCCCATTTTTGGACGTCTTAGTCAAGCGAACAACCATAGGGAAATTAGAAACTCACGTTTATAGAAAATCAACTCACACAGATCAAATCCTGAATTACAACAGCAACAATCCAATAACACACAAAAGGAATTGCATACAAACACTATTCAAGAGGGCAAGGACTCGTCGCAGTGCTCCCACCCTAATAAAAAAGGAGAAGATTGTTTCATAGACCTCTTTCAAAAGAGTGGATTTCCACGGAATTTCATCAAAAGACATACACCCCCCAAGCCAACCTACCAAAGCAAAATCCCTCAAGGAAAGCGAAAAGAAAATTGCCTTTCCACATATAAAGGATATCTCAGAAATTACTACAAAACTCTTCAAACCTTGATGACGGATTGACGTCACACACAAACCAATGAAATTACTTCACCCAGTTATATGTCAACCAAAAGACTCAACAGTGAAAGAAGATAAAACCAACATCATCTACAAAATACATTGTAACAATTTCGAATAACACTACATTAGCCTAAGCGGACATCCTCTTCGTCTTCGTATCCATGAACATAAGGTAGCCGTCAAAAGACATGATATCCACTCGCTCATATCACTACACACAGACAATCACGGACATCTATTCGACTAGGGCAACGAGCGTTCAAATATTAGACAGAGGAAACAACAAGAATGCTAGAGAATTTTTAGACGCCTGCCTTGTATTCCATTGAGTCATCAATCAATAGACACATCGAGATAAACAAAATTTATCAACCGATAAGAAAGAAACCTCACACACAAAGGGTCAATGTTCAAGTCAAAGAAACAATCAGTTCCAATGTCTAAGGTCACCAGGAGAGATGATTAATAAACTTGTGGAGAAATTTGAAAGCTCACTTCCACAAACTGAAGTATGTGCTAAATATTTCACCTAGTAGGGTGATGAAAGCTTCGCAAATTAACTTTCCGGCTCATAGAACACAATCACATCAAAAAATAAATAAGAATTTATATTCAACATAATAAGTATATAACAAAATCTGAAATTTAAACTGTCATATATCTGTGAAAAAAGAATACAAGTTACTAACCACAGGCCAGTAAGAAGAGAATGGCAACCAGGCAGTTGAACAGCATTTGCATTTTCGTTTGTTTCAACACTTGCGAAGAACACTGAGGATAGCTTGAAAACTCGACTCTTTATATACACTTTTTTCAGTTGACAATACGTGATGGAAAAAGAACAATCATGACTTTTCCTTTATGACAGGGTGTGATGCGGGGTAGAGAACACACCGAAATGAAGTTAATTGATAGCTCAATTGTCATTTCATAACTTCACTATTCGTAATTCGTCTTATTTCAACAGCGGTATTATTTGATCGGTATTCGTCATCGCCAAATGATATGAGGTGTACAATGTCTATCAATCAAATGAAACCTTGCTATTCTTCGGAAAGAAAATACGTGTTGAATATTGAAGAATGAAAAACGTTACGAATGTGAACACAAGAATTTAGGCAATGTTAATTGATTTTCATTTCTAATCATTTTGATAGAGAAATATCAGGGAGTAAAAATATTTGATAAAGTCTCACAGGTACCTTGATATGAATATGAGCAATAAATAGTGCTCGAAACGTCATCAGTAAACATTACTGTATAACAATGTGAGACCTTATCAAAACGAAAATTTACCCATAATGGAATTACACTCTACCACAGTGCACAAGTTTTATTCTTATATAAAAAATATTTAAGTTGTTAAAATAAAATGGAACCTTTACACCAATAAAATTCATTATGCACATAGTTAGACTATCTTCCTATTCAGTGATTGGTGCTAGGTTTTAATCACACTGGTAATATCATCTATTACTCAAACTGAGATGATCCAAATATAACCACTAGCTGATGGGTTCAGAAGAGGATGAAATATGCATCCATGATTTCACTGTTAGTTGCCATCAAACAGTTGGTAGTCTGTCCGTTTTCGACATAGAACTTTGCACATATGTGTGGCAGTTTCAGTTGCCACACTCCATGTAACACACAAAGCAAGAGAAGAAGGTAGAAGAAATGAATATTAGAGACAGTAAACATAGGTGTGAGGCAAAGGAATAATAATAACGAAGAACGATATAGTTTGATCGGACATCATAAGTCACAGGGAATGAATGCATCCGCGCCAGCCATCGATAAGGATTTTGAGCCATATCAACAACTGTTTCTAACCATTGGTTTCCGCCGTCTCAAAGACCCCAACCAGTCAGGAAGTCTACACCTTCCTACGTGGCTGGCTTAAACTAACTGTTGTGTAATTCACTGACTGATGCCAAGTTTCGGTTTGACCGACGCTAGCTCTTTTCCAGCCTAACCGTATATCAGCTAATATTGCCCGTCAAGGAAGACGGTGACTAGGCATTCGAAACATGTTCGAACCATCTCAGTCGATGTAGCTTCACAGCCTAGTCGATTGATTTCCACTGCTTACCTAGCACTCGACGCCTAACCTCAATATGCATCACCCTATTACACCTACCACTTCACAAGGGAGATACAGCGCAGGCACCTATGATCAAAGACAGCTAATCTTTTCTTGTCTTCCACTCTCAGTGGCCAGGTCTCACAGCCATAAAGGAGGACGGGGCGGACCGATGAGTTGTACACCCACCCTTTGGTCGATAGTCGGATATCACGTCTACTAAGACAGAGACGGCGTAAACTGGTATGTGCAAAACTAGCCCTCTGTATCAGTGCTGAGATTTCGTCTGAGATCAACCCGTTGGCACTGGCTAATGGTACTTCCCAAATAAGTGAAGCGGTCAACGTGCTCTACCACTTCACTTTCTATTTCTAATCTAGGAGTCTGTGTAGTCCAGTCCAGTACCATCATCTTGCATTTGGCGGGAGCGAATCGCATGCAAACATCCGTAGATTGCAGCTCAAGGTGTTTAGAAGACTCTGCATTTTGTCAGCGTCTTCACCCAGAAGGACTATATTGTCTGAATATCGTAAGTTCACGAGATTATTCCCTGGTAGCAAGTTAATCCCTGAGTCTCTGAAGTCAGTTAGGGTTAATTCCATCGGCACATCTATGATGAAGTTGAATAGAAATGGGGATAATGAGCATACTTGACGGACACCACTATTCGGCACCACTTCAGATGATAAATCACCATAAGCTCTCATCTGGCTGCATGAGTATGAGTAGAGTACTTGATCAGTGCAATGCATTTTCTCGGCATTCCGCTTTACAGCCAAGAATCGTCAGGGTACCTCTCTGTCGACAGAATCGAATGCTCCCTTTAGGTTAGGAAATATAATGATCGTTGGACGCCGGTTAGAATGCCTATGTTCTAGAATCTGTCGAACGGTGTTGGTAGTTTAATCAGATAGGGATTACCAAGGCAGGTTAAAGAATGCGGGGGCTTAATTTTAAGAATAGCTATCCACACTCAGGCTGTTTCAGTATGCGCTTCTAACGAGTTCTACGGACAATTTCGCAGGCCAATTTGACTCATATGAACTAAGCTTTTTGCTATGGGCGAAGCAGACAGTCTACTATCTGTAAACATCGAGATTCCTGAGTCCAGTTGGTTTTTTTACAAAATATGCGGGTAAATGTTCTCCAACCCTCATATGAAAGGCGTGACTTATTATTATTATTGCTCCCCTGGGTTCCCAGTGGAACATAAGGCTTCAACTGCACGTCTCTGTTTGCTTCTGTCTCCTGCTGTACTTTTCACCTGCATCCATGTCAGTCCATACTGTCTCAACTCCTTTTCACATGATCGCCTCCATGTCACCCTTGAACGTCTCACACGCCGCTTATCTTTCGGGTTCCACTCGAGAAATGGCCTGACGCGCGCGCGATGTTAACCAGAGGTCTCCTCAGAGAGTGTCCAATCCATCTCCACTTTCTCCTGCATATTTGTTAGGCGGTCGGTTCTTGTTTTGTTTGTTCCCATAGTTCCTTGTTGTTGGTGATTCTTTCCGGCCCGGCCATATGATCTTCAGTAAAAAGCGAAGACAGTCGTTAATAAAGGTTTGCAACAGGCTGTTGGAAATATTCTTTGTGACCCGCCTGTCAAGTTTCTGCTCCATATAAAAGAACTGACTTACTTGACGTTTGTGTTGTAATCTGACTGAATTTTGTTGTTGATGCTGAGTGACAAAGATTTCCATATTGGTTTCAGGTTGATGAATGTGTTTCTCGCCTTCCCAATTCTCGCTCGATTCGACATGCTCGTCCGTTCCGACTGCGTGTAGTTGAGACAATGCTCCCTAGATAAGTGAGAGAATGAAGTTACCTCTTTCAAATCCCCCCCGTTGGAGGTAATTGATGCTGGATGTTGTTGTTGGCTGGTTATTTTCATCTCCTCCGTCTTGTCTATGTTCACGTGGAGGCCTGTCTTCGCCGGCTGCTTCTTCGACCAGTTTGTCGGTCGGTCTTCGCTTGTAAGTCTTCGATTCTGTGTGACATCAAACATAAATCATCCACTCGCGAAATCCAGGTCTTCTAGGTTCTTCACGTCGGTCGGTCCAGGATATCCCTGTCTTCTCGTTTCCCGCTGTCTGACGCATAATCCAGTCCACCACAATTAGGAATATCGTTGGTGATAATAAGCAAGCACCCCTATCTGACCCCTGTGTTTACTCCAAACGCCTCGCTGAGTTTTCCGTTGTGGATCAATTGACATGTGCCGTTGTCGTACAGCTGTTGAATAATGTTGATGAATATTTGGGGTACGCCGTAGTACTCGAGTAATTCATAAATTATTTGGAAACTACTCATCCTTACTTGGACTACTCCTCTCTATACATGTTTGTGTACACAAGCAGATAAATTGGTATATATTATAGATTGTGATATAACCACTTGTGCACAGCTAAGGCTTATATCATTACATGATTTTATATATGTCCAAACCAGATTCACTTTTAACGGTCCAAAAACATTTGGCCATTGCGTATATCATATTCATTATAATAAGGGTTTTTGTAGTTCCCAATGAATGAAAAAGAAAACGATATTGTTTTTACTAACAATATCACTTTCAATTTGTTTCCATGCTCATTTTGTTCACACCTGTTATTCGTTCTATTCCTGCGTAAATTTTGTTTCTAAGCCTCTTGTAATTCATATCAATTTAAAAATAACAGTCACCTTTTATTCGCCTTTAAAATTATTTCTTCAGTTATCAGGTAATTATTTTGCATACATTGTAACTCTTTTCTATTCCTATGTAATCTTGTCTCTGAGCCCCTTGTAATCTATATTTGTACCATCAAACTTTCATACCAAGTTGAAAATTATTATCCCCTTCGTTGCTATGTGGAATTTGATAAACAATAATTGTATCCATGTAAACTAACGTATATAAATCTGATTGTACATCTGCTTTTGAGAATGAAATCACAGAATAGATCGCCATGTTTGCTGAACTTCTTGTTTTTTTCCCTATACCGTCCCGATGGGTATTTTCCACGAATTGAAATTTCTCTCAGTCTTTCTCTCATTGTTTGTCAATATTAGCAGCTGGAAATATTTCTCATTTGTTAATAGTTTCATTGTTAAACTATAAATTCAACAGTAATCCATACGGTAAACAGTTATCACGTGATAATGAAAGTTTCGAAATGAATCATGGTCTCTGAATTGAAGTAGCAAATATTTGGTAGCGTTTTAGTCAATCATGTTGAAAATGTCTTAATCGTGACACGTCCTCCACCTAGTTTGCCATTAAGTTCACAATAAATAAGCTATTTGAATAAATTCATCCCACTAAGTTGAATATACATCAATCTATGAGATCTAATTCAATGGGATAGACTTCCATCGACACCTGCATTCTATTGTCACTAAAAACCAGACTGATGGTCAGAAAGGATGAAAAACAAAGAACCCTAGCACAAATACAATGAGCAGTAGATGTTTTACTCGACAGAACTGGAAAAGGTAAGGCAAACGGAGGAGAAAATCGTTTGGTGTCAGCTTTTGATTAGAACCATAATGCGGGTTAACGAGCTAGACGTGTAGCTTGAATCTTGTGGACAGTTGTATGGTCAGTTAAAAACGATGACAGGAAACAGAACACAGTAAAGATATGTTGCTGAGGCTCATTGCTGCATTCACAATT